GTGTGACAGTGCTGGTGACATTAAGTGTGCCACTGGAAAGCTCCATGGAATCGAGTTTTTGATCCACAATCAGCTCAGAGCCTTCACTGGAGTTTAGCCATATGATCATGGGCTGGTGTTTCCCACCGTATGATGTGCACTTCAGTGTCACCTCCTGACCATATTTCAGCTGCCCTTCCACAGGATGTGTAACCACTGGTATGCTGAATGGAGCTGTAAAGAGAAAGTCTTGGACTGACAAACTGTAACATCTGGAAAATGCCTGTTACTAAACCGAACACATAAAATTTGAATTGAAGATATAATTTGCATTATGAGAAATGGTGAGTGGCCATAGAAGTGGGTTTTGGAGATTGTACTTGAGACAGGCTACAGAGATCTAGAGATGTAAAAAAAAAAATCATCTAAACTGCATTTTAATGGGTTATGGAAGTCCTATCTGAGCAGAATTATGGAGATCCTACCCGAGCTGGGTTATTGAGATCCTACCTGAGTTGGGTTATGGAGATCCTATCTGAGAGCGTTATGGAGATCCTATCGGAGAGCCTTATGGAGATCCTAGTTGAACTGAGTTATGGAGATTCTACCTGAGCATATTATGTAGATCCTACCTGAGGGCGTTATAGAGATCTGACCTGAGAGCGTTATGGAGGTCCTATTTAAGCTGAGTTACGGAGATCCTACCTGAGCATATTATGTAGATCCTACCTGAGCGCATTATAGATATCTGACCCGAGAGAGTTATGGAGATCCTATCTGAGAGTCTTATGGAGTTCCTACCTGAGAGCGTTATGGAGATCCTATCTGAGCCGAGTTATGAAGTTCCTATCTGAGATGAGTTTTGGAGATCCTACCAGGACTGTGTTATGGAGATACTACCTCAGCTGGGTTATGAATATCCTATCTGAGCTGGATTATGGAGATCCTACCTGAGTAAGGTTATGGAGATCCTATCTGAATGAGGTTATGGAGATCCTATTTGAGCTGGGTTATGAAGATCCTATCTGAGCAGGGTTATGGAGATCTCATCTGAGCTTAGCTGAGGTTGTGTGGATTACCATAGTTAGTGGATTAATTAAGTATAATAATTGTTAATAACAGTAGTTTAGTTAAAGATATTAGCTACAATATGATAGGATTATTTTAAGCATACTGTTTATAATCAGTTGTGAGTTAGTCAGATAGAATTTATTGAAACGCTCATTAGAATATGAATCTGTTAGTTGATCAGGGCTTAAATTATTTTAATGCATTTATTATTGATTAATTGATTTGAAGGATGGTGTACTGATTACCTGCTACCTCCAGTTCTGTGTAGATCTGATTTAACATTTGTATGACTGGGGTGTTCAACATGATGATACACTTATACTTCCCACTGTCGTTCAAGGACAGATCCTTCAGGCGGAGTGTAAAGTTACCTTCCAGCATCATAGTGGGATCCATATAAACTCGTCCTTGGTAATTCTGGTAAGTGTCTGTTATCTTGCCATTATGAAGCTCAATGACCATTAAATCTGGAGAGTTAGGGTTGCCCTTCTGCCAGTAAACCAGGAGTTTTTCAAGATCGTAAAATAATGGTTTGTACACACAGGGCATATCTACTGCTCCTCCAAGTCTGCCAACCAGCCCAGTGCTGAACCTCCACACTGAAAGAAAGACAGAGTAAGACATCTGGTCCACTCGGAACAGCACAAAATTCTAGGACATGGTAGAGGGTGACTCTGTGTTAGTGGGATGCGATGCTGTGAGGGATGTTAGCGGGATGCAATGCTGTGAGGGATGTTAGCTGGATGCGATGCTGTGAGGGATGTTAGCGGGATGCAATGCTGTGAGGGATGTTAGCTGGATGCGATGCTGTGAGGGATGTTAGCGGGATGCGATGCTGTGAGGTATGTTTGCGGGATGTGATGCTGTGAGGGATGTTAGCGGGATGCGATGCTGTGAGGGATGTTAGCGCGATTTGATGCTGTGAGGGATGTTTGCGGGATGCGATGCTGTGAGGGATGTTAGCAGATGTGTTGCTGTGAGGGATGTTAGTGAGATGCGATGCTGTGACGGATGTGGTTAGCGAGATGCGACCCTGCGAGGGATCATCGCTGGATGCGACACTGTGAGGGATGTTAGCTGGATGCAATGCTATGAGGGATGTTAGCAAGATGCGATTCTGTGATGGATGGGGTTAGCTGGACGCGATGGTGTGAAAGATGAAAGCTATGGATTTAGGTAGCTTTCTGAAGTGGTTGTGGTGACTGTAATGTTCCATCATTAGTGTATAACACTGTACAGTAATTTGTGGATGTGTAACGCTCCATGCAGGCAGTAGGAACATTGAAAGGACTGTGGGCTGTGGAGCAGTTTTGGTGGATTTGCGGGAGGTAAT